ACACGACGCTCTTCCGATCTCCCCAAAACCCCAAAACCCCATCGTGCGACTATACGTTAAATAAGAGGAATTTAAAAATAAAATAAGATTAGATATATTTATAACACAACAATCAAAACTCATTTTAATCAATGGAGCAGTTAAGTTTAAAATAAAGAGATCTCAATTCCTTCAGCAATATGTCTCCTGAGTCAGACAGGCATAATTTTGTTAAGTCTATGGCTTAAAACGAAGTAAAACGTTATAGACCTAGTTTTATGTCAATAAATGAAATCTAAAAATAGGAGTAGTTTTCTCATTAGTCAAGAACGAGTGGAAATAGCATATCAATAGGCTCATATAAGATGCATGATTGCTTCGGATCACATAATCGAAATAAAACTGAGTCAATGGGCTCTGGATCAGAGCATAATTTTCAAAGTCGCAGTTTCATCAGGCAAAAAAGTGGAGATAAAAGGTAAAACAGAAACAGTCAAAATAGACTGGGAGCTGAAAAAGAACAAAAAGAGAACAACTTTGATTAGTTTTCAACTCTAGGAGGCTAAACCACAACTGAATCATACCCTGTTAATTCTTTGACACAAACTAAAATAATAAAGCTAAGTTTAGATCTTAATATAAACCAACAAAATCCAAAGAATATCAATCTTAGCAGAGGTGGTTTACAGACAAATACATAAAAAACAACCACTGAACTTTTACAAAATTAAGGCTTGATTAATGTTAGTGCTTAGACAACATAATCTAGAAATCCAATTTATGCCAAGAGTATAAGTCAATAATACGTTTAGGTAACTCCTTTAAAGAAATTTAAGCCAACTAATCTTCTCATTCATTAGCATTAAAACCCTTAGAGCTCACAGTCAATTTCACTGTTTCAATAAAATAATTAGCTTTAGACTCAGTGTCAAATGGTAAAAGATTAAAACAAAAAATCATGCAAGATCCTCAAAACAAGTAATTAGATGAATGAGGAGGGGAGTGAAATATTTGATTTGCAAGATTACTTACAATCTAAGAAGACCTCAGCTCATTAGTCTATTCATGATTACCAAACTCTAAGTAGTGTTGAATAACTAACATTATCCAATACTCATAGTGTTCATAATAATCAAAAGCCTAATGATCAAGCAATAAATTAAAACAAGAGTGGTAAGAAGCAAATGCAACTCAAAATTACTGGCTTTAGTGTTTAAACTGATTACAAAAGCCCAACTCGCTAAATCATCGCTACATAAAATGTCACTAATAATAAAAGTACAGTAAAGATAAAGAAAATTGAGAGAGACTAATCAAAAAATAGAAGGAGCACAGAAAAACTGCATGGGAACACTAATCAATTAAGATTGAATGAGTAAATGAAGAAAGTAACTATTGAAAATTTTGGATTTCAGAGCTTTCAATAGCCTAATAATAACTCTTAATTTTACACAGTCAAAAATAATGAGAAATTTGAGAAATTCAAAAAGAAATGGGTAAAAGAAGAAAATAAATCAAGCTTTAAACCCTCTGATCATCGTAAAAGTAGTCCAACTAATGATATTCTTCCACCCTTTACTAAATAGATTAGCCAATAGAATGCTGATATTAATGCTGAAAATTAAGCCCTTTTTAAAACATAAGAGTCCCCTCGTTTAATCAACCACTTTCAGATTTAAGAAGATTTCAGTCCAGCTAATATAATTCGAAACAATTTAATTGATAGAAATAAATCGATTTCTAAGATAAATACACCAATAAACCCAACTAGAAATTCAAGAATATCAACTCCTGTCTATAATAAATCTCAGAGTAACATTAACATCATTAGAAAATCTTAGAACTCATTGCTATTAGATGATTATTCTCCATCTATTCTTGGCAAAAAATCTTTGAGAAATCATAGTACTTTCGATGTAGTAACCACAGCTTCTGATCCTGATTTTAATTGTTAGATGAAATAATAAATGCGGGAATTTATGACGCCCTCAGAAATTAAAAATCTTAATTATCCTACTTAAAACTGCTATGACTTCTTGAAGCGATCTCTTTAATCATAGAAGGGGCTAGCATTAGAATTTACAAAGGCAAGTGAATCACTTAGGACTCTTTCTCAAACTTTCTTGTTCTTTATGAGCTTTTACAAAGATATTGAATCACTTATTAATGAAAGCAAAAGTTCAAATCTTAGACAAGATATGCAAAATTTCATGCGAAGATATGCCTTAAACCAGTTGGATTTTGACATAGAAGATTTAAATAACAAGAATGGTGAATATTAGAGAATACAATAAAATTAATAAGCATCAATAGAAGACATTACTAAATTCTTAAGGTATGCTAAATCTGAAAGAGTCGAGATTGAGAAGAAATAGCATGAAAACATGTAAAATGAACTTAAGAATTTAAAAGAGCAAAATATGAAACTGTAGTAACAGCTTAGAATAAAAAATAGAAATGAAAATTTCACTCAATGCACAGTAAATCATATTAAAAATTAATAAAAAGGTGCAAAAAATGTAGGATTAGGCTATCCATTCAACTCTGGATCAAAAGGACTCGGATAGATGAATCGCATAATTATGGAGTTGCAAGCATAAATTGAAAAGAGGTCTAAGTGCATAGAAGAGTTGGACAATAAAATGAAGGCTTAGCAGACAGAACATGAAAAATACAAGGAGGAAGTTAATAGTAAATAAAAACAGATGAAAAATGTGATTTAGGAAATGACTAATAAATTCAAAAAACTTAAAGAAGAAAAGGACTAGCTTAAAACTCTGATGCTTGCTTCTGAAAAGATTGATCCTGAGGAACATAAACTACTATTATTAGAAAGAAATAGAGGTTTAGAAAAAATTAGCACACTTGAATCAATTAATGTTTAAATGACAGAAGTTCTAAATAAAGAGGAAAAATTTAAATAGATGAAAAACATTTTCATTGATTTGTGCAATATTCTAGTAAGCAAGAAAGATTCTAAGGTAGAAATGAGCTATGCCTAGCAAGAGTTCTTCAAATTCATAATAAATGAAAGTTTAAAAATAGAAGTAGAAAGTACTCTGAAAAATAAATAAGCAATGAAATTTTTTGCTAATGAGTTGATCACTCTGATAAACCAGCATCTTAGTTGGTTAGTTTCATAGTAAGATAAAGAGAGGTAGTTCAAACCCGAGAAATAGATATCAGGCCTTTAAACTCAATAAAACTTATTTATCTAAAGATTCTCAGAATTAGTAACTTTTATTTAAAATAATACTGTTTTAGTTTGGTGAATACCCCTAAGTTCATGGAGAAGTCTTATCATTCAGGAAAACTTAAGAGCTTGTAAGTTCAATAGAGAGGAAAGAGCCAAATTACTATGATGATGAGTTCAGTGAAATTGAAGCTAATTCAACCCCTTTTAAATAATAGCAATAGACTGAAACAAAACCTAAATACTCCTTACCATAGTAAATCGATTTGGCTAAAAAGAGTTTTAATGGTAGATAACTAAATCATGCTTTAACTCCATTAGCATTGACCTCTATTCAACTTACAAATCAATCAGATTCTCAAAGTGATCTTTAGAATTTATTCTATAATAAAAATCCATCAAGATAGCAAGAGCAGCATATACTAAAAGTTGATCTTTCACCATCTTCTAATAATTTTTTGGATGATAATAGTTCAAATGGATAATTTATGAGAACTGAAGGTAATAAACAGTAAAGTGAGTTAAATAGGCCAAATAATAATACAAATCAAATCAATAAAAAGAAGCAATTAAAGTAAAAACTGGGTCTTTTGAGAAAAGAGAACAGAGAGTTAAGAATGATGATTGATATGCTCTAGATTACAGATGGCAACAACTACTATAACAATGATAATTATAAGAAAAGATGCTTTACGCCAAATGGGTAAATGAATGAGAGCAAAAGATTAGGTAACTTTTAAGGATTATCAAACCAAATAAAAAACAATGGGTTTGAAGGACTAGATACAAATATGAACTCAAGATAAGAATCTGAGTCTAAGTACTATACAGGACTTGATATTGATAAGAGAGGAGATTTCAATGAACTAGACTTACTAAAATCTTTACATAGTATGGCTTACTTACTAGAAGAATCTTGTAACCCTAGAGTTAAGCCTAAGGTTAGAATTGAAAAAATTTGATATGTTTGATGATTTAATAAGAAATTTAGCTCATTATCTAGACGACGATTGAATATTTTAATGAATAGTTACTTCTAATAAGTATTGCCTTATATTTCTAACTTCTTATGAAGGTTACTTATGTTAATAGGATTAATGTGTATTTTTTAGAAATTATTTAACTAAATTCAAACTGTGAATAAATTTTCAAGATTGAAAGTTAAATGGCACTCGTCAATAACTAATTCAACCACTATTAATCTATATATTTATTATTCATTATCTAGAGAAAGATTTCCTTCACTTCGCCATCATCATTTTGACAAATTCTTCGAAATTCAGAGCTTTATCTCCGTCAGCATCATGCTCCTCTATCATTTCTTTTAAGTCATCATCTGTAATCTTTTCTCCTAATTCCTTAAATATGTTCTTAAGGTCATACCAATCTATGCAACCGTTGTTATCCTGGTCAAATATCTTAAATACTTCAACCAACTCTTCCTCTGGTTCAGACTCTTTCATTTTCTTAATCATCAGTGCACAGAACTCATCGAAATCGATTTCCTTATTACCATCAACATCAACCTCCAAAATCATCTATTCTAACTCTTATTCTGTCGGGTTTTATCCTAGTGTCCTCATAACAGTTCCCAACTCTGTAGTTGATATAGTCCCATCCCCATCCTTATCAAACAAAGAAAATACCTCTTTGAATTCTTATTTCTATATCTCTGTTAATTCTCCAGTCTCTGCCATTATTTCAAGTAGTGATAACTGTAAATATACTTAATTATAAATTAATGTTTATTTTTTCCAAAAGAAATTAGCATTTTGATTGAATATATTATTGTCTATTTGCATGCGTTTATTCTCTCTCATGGGGTTTTGGGGTTTTGGGGTTTTGGGGTTTTGGGGTTTTGGGG